AGGCCACCCTCAGAGTAATTGATTAATTACTGTTTTTAGATTAAAATGCTGATTATCAAAGTTAGGTAACTCTTTTCCCCTGACAACTTGGAGTACTGCCTTAAGGTATGTCAGTCTTAATAGCTATGAAAAGAAAAGAGGGCACCAGGTCTGTGGCACAGAGGCCCATGAAGGGAGAATTGCAGATGCAAGGCAGGAGGTGGGAGTGACCTGCTCTGTTGACGACTGCACACACACCTGTCCAAGTCCCTGTAATCTGGGGCTGCCGGCACCCCCAGCATCCCAGACCACTAGGGTGATATTCTAGTTCATGCGTTTAAAATGGGAAACGGGCATGTGCTGACCCTTCCAAGACATTAAAACTAAAATGCTTGTGTTTACAGTGATGTTTCCGTTACCTGAAAAATACCTTACTCAGCACACTTCTGGCAGAAAGTGCTGGCTCTGGTGTCATTGTCATAAGGTTACAATTAGGCCTAGACTGGGACGGAGAGCCATCTGCCCTGCCAAGCTCTAGGAGTGATGGTGACCAAAAATCAGAAAAGGCTGCACCTGCAACCACCTGCAAGTCTGGGCAAACCTGGCACTGAGCACGTAGCACACAGCAACCCCTGCCAAGAAGCAGCGCTGAGCACAGGGCACCCGGAACGCACACCTGTGATGCTTCTTCACAGGTGACCTTCCGGAGGTGACCTCTGGGAGTCCAGGAATCACAATTGATAGTGGAAAGGTGATCGCTAGCTTTAAAATGTGTCATTTTCTGTAGGATGATGTTCATCCATGGAACGTATTCAACAACCAGTGCTTATGGCAGGCACTGACGTTACCCCCAGCTCCAGTGAGACCTGGAACTTAACTCAGTGCAAGACTTTCTGAGAACTTAGAACAGCCACCCTGGTCAGTTTTGAGGGTGCTGATTCTTTGACTTGGATGCCGCAGCCTAGAGGAAATGAAAAATGGCCGCTGTACCTGCTGGGTGTGGGGACAGAGGGACAGTGATGGCTCCACTTGACTGAGTCCTTCCTGCGGAGCGCTGAGCAAAGGCTCTCCCTGCACCTCGCAGGGCAGGCCCTGGCATCAAGTTCTTATAAGCTGGCAGTGATTCAGGGAGGTGAGGTCACCTGCTCAGGCCACACAGCCTTTATACAGGGAGCCAGACCGACACCCCAAAATTCCAGTTCCAAAGCAGTAGAGCTGCGGTACTGAAGCCGTGGGATTTGAGCCTACCCTCTGCAGGGGCACGAGCCACAGATACTCACACTTCTAGTGCTCATGACTCAAACTCTGAGGGGGTTTCTGTGGAGTTGGGGGTTTCCAAAGGTCTGAGCCGTAGATGCCTCCAAGGACATGCAGAGTGACACCCACAGTCTCCTCTGCCGTTCCCTGGAGGGGGATCTCCCAGGCAGAGTTAGGCGCCAACCCCATGGAGACTGGCTCAGGGTTGAAGGACAAGCAGGTTCCCACAAGTCAGAGACGCCTCAGGCATCTCAGGACTTGTCCTACTGGTTTCTCACTAGTGTTGTGCCCACAAAGCCAAACAGTAATGGGAGTCCTGGGGTGTGTTCGTTCCTGGGGTCAAGCTCGTGTGAAAGTTGGGGTTGGCTTCAGTTGTTTGAACTGAAACCCAGAGCAGAAATGGTCCCCCACAGACCTCCCCACCCCTACACAATAGTCAACTTCACACATATACACACAAACACACACACATTCTTTCCCCACATTCACTCACACACACAAGCATACTTACACATCTACTCAAAACTCTCTCCTCCATAGTCATACAGATACACAGTTCTGTCACACATATTCACACAGTCTTGCCACTGTACAAGGCAGTCTGCTTTTGTGATGCTGTCAGGACACAGCCAGCCTTGGAGAGACTTCATCCTTCCTATGACACCTACAGTGTCCTTTCCCCTCATCAATAAAGGGGCCCTCGTCTCCTTTAGCACCTCTGCTGTTCCCACTGGAAAACACTGGATTTCCACAGTGGCAGGGTCAGAGCGGTAGACTGAGGAGCAAGAGGGACTGAGTCCAGTGGAGTAGATGACATCCTCCAAGGAACACAGAATTGACTGGAGGCTTCTCCAGCAAAGCTGTCTCTTCTCACCCAAACCCACCCATCATCTTTTTTGGTTCCTGGCTACTCCTTCTCAGAAGGCCGAGCCCCCTAAACCGAATCTCTTCATCCTAAACAGCTGAGGAGGGCAACACAGAGGGCTGTAGTACATTCTGCTCCATGGTCTCTGCATCTTCTGTGTTTGCTTCTATGTGCCCAAGGGCTCAGCTGTGGGAATCTGAGCAAGGGATGGTCACACAGCCCCATCACACGCAGGTGGCTCCTGGGAGGTGCAGTGGTGTATCCCTTTTAGCCACAGAGAGCCACAAACACCACAGTCTTTTGGTCCTTTCCCACTCCCCCCAGAGGGCTGGCTGGGCTCTACACCCAGGCTGCAATGTGTGAGACCAGCAGAGAAGGAAGGGACTGGTCAGGCTTGAGTAGGTTTTGGTGATGAATGCTGCTTTCTCCTGGATTGCATGGTCAGGTGCCCTGTGGTGTTGGTCACACACGAGAGGCTGTCCCCACAACAAACCCCAGAGAAGGGAGAACAAGACCCTCATAGGACTGAGTCTGTGAGTTGACTGTTCCCCATTTAGGCAGGAGGTTGGACAGGAAAGAATGAAGAAAAGATATCAATCTTGAGTCACACTGTGGAAAGAGAAGGGTCAGGATCCTAAATGGCAGGCTGAAGATGGAGACATGTGGCCCAGACTTCTGCTCTGTCCCCAAAATTACTGGGTGCAGTTGGGCACAGGACTTTTACTCCCGAGATCACATCTCTGCACAGATAGATAGATGAGCATGATGGGAATGATGATCATTCCCTGTTAAGGATGACATGGGAGCTCTTTCTACCAGAACCCTCTGCTCTGAAGGCAACTGTCAAGGGTGGCACCACAGGTCCTAATGTTCAAGGCCTTGGACTGTTTGATGTGACTGAATCGTCCAGACATATATGTTTAATTTACCAGTTTAATCAAGAAAGGTTTAATAACAAAGTTGACAGTGAGCTCTCCCTCGAAGGGATATTTTCTTTGGAGTTGGTTTCCACTCATCATTCTTTGATCGTTGATCCTAAATGCCCTGCTTGGATATGGTGGATGTGTTTGTTACCTTGTTTTGTAGATAAAGATAATGAGACACAGATCTCAAGTCAGTGATGGGGCTAGAACCAAGAACCCCAAGTTTCCTGATGGTGTCTGAGAAGCTCTCTATCATTTACAATGTGTGTTTTAATGCCAAGGGAGAAGAATAAGAAAGCATGAATCATCTTGGCTTTTTAATTGCAAGTCCTGCTAATAAGATGGGAAGCAAGGAAATCTAAAATATAGGTTTATGTCTTCAAATATTCTTAAACAAATAAAGGTAAGAGCTGGGCTGGCCCTAGTGATTAGGTGCTCCACCCTCCTTAGCTGCCTGAGTGGCGGGCGCTTCCTGGGGCCAGGCTCTCGGGTGGACCCACATCATCCTCCTGATCTGGTCATCAGTTTCATTGAGAATTTGTTGCTCAATGCTGCCTCTGTGCAATTCCAACACGAAGACAGAATAGCGATCCCTTTTTTTTTTTTTTAAGTATGTCTTCATAGATCCAGTTAGACAACTGGAATTTTCCCCTTTGGCACATCTGGGCACCTGGGATGTAGGCTGGGCTGGGGGTGGTGTGGAGTGTTGAAGGGTGGGTAGATGTTTTGCCTGGTTGCCCTCTGAGGCAGGAGGGGACCTTCTGTTTGTTCTGAACTAGAGAGAGGTGGAATTTATAACAGTTCTCAGAAGAGTGGAGGAGTTTGTTCCTTCTCTAGAGGCAGAGGTGAGGGGAGTCATGGGAATTTGTTCAAATGGAGAGGGATGTCCCCCTTCCAATTGTGGGTCTCCCTGCCAAAGACTTGGGGAGAGTCCCCATGGACGGAGCTCTCAGACTGCTCTGTTACTCAGAGCAGTGCGTGGTTTTTCTCTCGGGTCTCTTTCTGAGAACTGCTTAACTAGTGGGCCCAGGGAGGTTCCCAGATTAGGTTTCCCTGCTTAGGAGTGGCTCCCGAACAACCTCAAGCTAGGTCATGTCAAAGTTTCGGTCATGGCTTTCTCCATCCTCCCAGATGCGCAGCATCTTGGGGAGCTGGTCTACACTGGCCTAGTGCTTCCCAGTCTCCTCTGTGAATGTCAACACCCTATTCCTTCCCAGGGTCTACAGAAAACCTTACACTCTCAACAGAATGGACTTGGAGAGTCAGGGAGCTGGAGGAGAATTATGTAGCGGGGACAAGAAATCTCCTCACCACTGAACTCACATTAGAATATTCATTTAATAAATGATTCTCAGCATGCCCTGTGTGCCAGGGTCTGAATGAAACGTGCCTCCTTGCTTTCTCATGAAACTTGCCTCTTTGCTTTCTCAAGGCTAAAGGCAGCTAACCTTTCATCTGGTGATCTGTTGACTGGGAATTCAGTGATGCCCATGGCTCCAACCTGAGACCCAACTCTGCCATCATCTACCCTCAGCAGCCATACCCTGCTGGACAGGAGCTGGGCAGCCACTCTGAGAGAGGAACAAGACCGCTGGGCAGCCCTCGCACCCCTCCAGGCTCTGCTGTGTCCACCAAGGCAGCTCTCTTCCCCTGCCCGCCTCAAGCTCTGTAACGTGAAGCAACATTTGGAAGCCCTCAACTTGGCCAGAGGGCTGCGTGAGAGTCAATAGGACAAGAAGCGTCTGAAGCAGCATGGTTGCCATTGGGGACAGCCTCCCTTGCTGGCTCCCTCAGATTCTCGTGGGCGTGCCCTGCCTCTCGTTCCTGCCTTTCTGGTCTACAGCTGGTCTGTCCCTCCCTGGGAGGAGGATTAAGCCTGAGGACATGGGAAGGGTGGGGAGCCTTTCTCCTCCCTTTGCTCTGACAATAGAAAAGGGGGGTTCCCATCCCATTGCAAGTCTGCAGTTGAAGCTCAACCCTCAGACAGACACAGCCAGACGTCCTGCTCCTGGTTCCAGCTCTGACCTGAGCCCTTGAGCTGTTGGCAGTGAGGTTGGAAGCTCTGAGAGAGTATCAGTGACATGGCTGATCAACTGCCCAGCGAGCAGGTGGCTGAGTTCAAGGAGGCCTTCACCCGGTTTGACAAGGACGGAGATGGCAAAATCAATGTCCAGGAGCTGGGTGCCGTGATGCAGATGCTGGGCAAGAAGCTGTCAGAGGAAGAGCTAAAGGCCATCATTGCCCAGGTAGACACGGATGGCGATGGCACCATCAGCTTCCAAGAGTTTCTGGCAGAGATGGCCAGGAGGATGAAGCCTGGTGGCAGTGAGCTGGAGCTGCGGGAGGTCTTCCAAGCCTTTGACCTGAACGGTGATGGCCACATCAGCGTGGATGAGCTCAAGCAGGCCATGGTCAAGATGGGGCAGCAGATCTCCCAGGAAGAGCTGGATTTGATGATCCAACAGGCTGATGTGGACAAGGATGGGCAGGTGAACTATGAGGAGTTCGTGCAAATCCTCTCCCAGAAGTGAGACCCGGCCTGGGCCTCATCTGCGGACTCTGATCTTTGTGTCTATTGGGCCCTTGCTGCTGTGGTGGCCCCTGCTGGGTTGTGGGTGGGAAATTAACTCCCCCTGGGAAAACCTTTGTTCTCTGGGGCCTGGGGTCTGCACTGTTGGGGGCCATGTGAAGGCCCTCCAACTGGCAAGACCCCAGCTTGCCCTGCCTCTTACCCCAAAGTAAAATGAAATGGAAGGTGCCTCACAGATTGTTGTGAGGAACCCCAAAGCTATGTGGTGGCCACAATAAAGGAATGTGAACTCTAAGGGTATTTGTTGGTGCCTGAGTGTTTGATTGAAAAGGGGAGAGTTGAGGGTCCAGTTGAGGTATCTGGGAATCTTTTACATCCCACCCTTGTACTGGCCCTGGTGGGAGGATTGATGTGAGAAGCCCAGGGAAGACGAAAGGTGTGGGTCTGAGGACTGGGTGGAAGATATCTGCCTGAGCATCTAATTCAAGACCAGCAGTCTGACCCTGGACCCCAGGACCGGGACGCTGCTTACGCCACAGTTAACAATGTTTACGTCTGCTGCATATAATCAACTGCCTTTGAGGTCAAAGAAAATGTGTGTGTGTGTCCTGCATTTGAGATCTAGCATCTTACAGATTAAGAAATGACAAGGTGGTGGCACTGGAGCACCAAATTTATTTCACCAGGATAAAGGCTGGTCCAGAAGGGGTGGGAGGTGGGCGGGGACACTGGAGGGAGGGTTCAGCTTAAGTGTTTCTTTCCACCCGGAGAGATTTCTTCTACTTTCCCTCCAAGTGGAGAGATTTCTACCCCTTTAGTCTCAGCCAGGGCCCCCCACAGCTACCTGGTCCTTCTCACTGCATCTTCTTCCTGTCCTGTCTGTGAACTGGGGGCTTTGTAGCTTATCCCCAATCTGCAGTGTCTTCATGGAGGAGCTAGGAGGAGAGAGGGAGAAGGATGGACATGCCAGGGGCTGCTACCTGCTCCTGATGTCATGCAGAGCAGCTGTGAACTTGGGGTTTCTGTATTCCTGTGGAGCTAAAACACTAGACCTGTTCTAGGCTGCTTGTCATGACTGAGCTCCCCAGGCTGCCTTTGTCCTGCTTCTCGGAGACGGTTTAATCTGAGCTCATCTTCCACGTGAGGCCTAGGGTGGTTAGAGTCCAGTGATACTTACAAGGAAGAAGAAAACTTATCGGTCTGTGGTTTCAGATTGAAATCAGCGTAGCAGGGGAGGCAGGAAGATTCCCTGGCCTTGACTCAGAAAACTTATTTTTTTCCCCAGCGTTTTCGTCAATGAGCAGTGTCACTTCGAGTGTCACTTATGGAAATGGAGCTTCTGCTTTTTCCTTCATGAAATGAGTTTTCTTTGGCTCATTGAAACTTTAGCTCACACTGTCAGTGATGATTGACTATCTGCCCTATCTGTGCCAAGTCACTGGTTCTCAGCTCAGGGCGGAGAGGCAGAGCTGGCTCACCTGAGGTTGTTGCAAAACACCAGTTCCCGCCCTTTGCTGCCAGTCCCATGTTTCTGCACGTGCGGGGTGAGTGAAAGCCAGTCTGTCCCCAGCCAGTGGAGGCAGGGCCAGACCATGGAGGTGGGGCTTCTGCATAAGTGAAGTGCTCTTTTTTAAAGCTTCCTCCCATTTGGCATTTGAGGGGGTCACCTGTCATTCTATGTCCCTTCTAGCCCTGTCCTTGCAGTCAGCCCACAGGGGTCCCCAGAGCCTAGCCATGGCTCTGGACCCGGCACCTTGCATAGTTCCTCTGGAAGGCATCATGAAGTCCCTCCTGGGACAGCCCAGGAAGTAGCCTGGGCCATCCGAGTGTGCACGTGAGCATTCAGGGTCACCTCTGACTCTTGGCTCAGTGCGTCCCTGCCACAGAAAAGGAGCTGGGCCCCAGCAGTGGGCATTTCCAAAAGTGTGACAGTGCCCTGACTGGGACAGGGGTGGGGGGTGTGGGTGCTGGTGAGTCCGAAACTCTTCTGGACCTGTCTTCTGGGATTCTGCCCTCATCAGTCCACCCTGCCCATCTCTGGAGTCCACTGCCATCAAGGAGGCCCAGTGGCCACATCCCACAGATAAGCCATGGGAGGAGGTGTGTCCCTGCACAGATCTCTTCCATTTTTAAGCTACTCTAGTGAAGAGGAAAAAAATGAAGCTGCCAGATAGCCCAGGGAGGTAGGAGACTTGACTGGGCATGGAGATGGGTCCTCTGAGGCCTATCAGTGAGGGGCCAGAAAAGTGGTAGACACTTACCTACGACCTCCCCAGGGATCTGGTTGCTGAAGTGTCTCACCTCAGGCCAGGAGGAGGGAAGGGCCTGGAATGGAATGCAGTGCTCAGAAGGCTCCCTCCAGCTGAGTCTTGTCTCCTGTACCTGCCTCACCATCCTGCCTGGGACGAGTGGGTCCGCAGAGTGGAGTGGTGTGGTTAGTGCTGAGGGGTGGAGGGGTTAATGACTGAGGGACACAGCTAGAAACAGTTCTACCGCTAGACCTTGGAGAGAGCTTGGCTGCCCACTCCTCCCACCCCACCTCGCCCTGTGAGCTCATGGCAGCCCTCGCCAGACCTAGAACATGCAGGAGGCTTTGGGAACCAAGGAGGCCTGAGGTCACTTCTTTATTTTCCCCTGAGGTTACTTCCTCAGGAACCTCTGTTCTCTGAAAACCACTTTGCTGAAAGTCAGTTTGCCAAGACCAGTTCTGCAAATGGTCAACATGCTGGTATTTCTCAATTTGCAAAAATGGATTCTTACTATAAGGATTATAGAGATTTATAGGAATATGCTGTGTGGTTAGTATTTGAATATTTCTCTACAGTTTTTGTCTTTTTCTAATTAAAATTTTAACTTAGTTCAGCTTTACTTTTGGCCTAATAAATTGTTTCAGTTGCAGTCAGTTCACCTAAATATTGTGCCATAACCACCTGACAAAACCAAAAGTTCTCTTTTTTTTTTTTTGTACTTTGGGTCTATGATTTTTGGGAACAAGAACTGAACTAATTCATTTCGAGATGGAGTTGTCTCTAATGCCACAGATTTTAGGCATTGTAGATAGGGCAGGTGGAATGTTTCTATTAGATTTTCAGTATTGTCAGTCCCTTTAAAACTTCTCTTAATTTACAAATCTATTAACTGGCCCAGTCAAATCGATATTTGTGTATATTTTGCATATTTGGTGGATGCAAGGTATCTGAAATAAGAGTCACATACAAAAATGATATTTAACTGAACATAATAACTGAGTTGATAAACCTGCTAGAGCTGGTTGGAATACAACAACTTTTTGGGGAGAGGGGAACAAATCAAAAATAAAGCAAAATGTCCCCTGAATCCTTAAAGATGTTAATTAGTATATTGATTTTAGATTAATTATTCTACTTCTGTTCAAAACAGATGTTTCAAATTCCACATATAAAATAATACATCATCTTTATTGGACTGCCCTTCGATTTTTAAAAAAGATTTATTTATTTATGTATACAGAACTGGGGTGCAAGCCAGAGGTGCAGGGGTAGTGAGATGATTCTCCACAGACAGAGTGGGGAGCAGAACAGGCAGACTGAGGGAATACACCCCTGAGGGAGCAGCCCAGGTTCAGGAGAGGTCTCTGGGGCTGGAGATAGAACCCCCACTAAGGCGGCTGGCCGTGGCTGGCTATCTTGCCGTGCTGCGCTTTAACCCATTGTGCCACCAGGAAGGGCCCTGCCCTTAGATCTTTTAAATCCTAATTTATATCCGTTCCTGACAGGCCTGATAAACCCACCCTTTTTTCAAGGTCTTTATTGAATGCCTACTCCTCCAGGGAGCTTTCCAGAAGTGGGCCTGGTACATAGTAACAACACAAACTTTTCCCTCTGTACAAAGTTCACCACTTATTGGAATTTTCTGTGAACAAACTTAACTTTGTTCCTCAAAATCTCAACTAATAAAATAAAATCCGTCAATATTTATAGTAGATTATTAACTCTTTGCATATAGCTTGCAGAGAATCCCAAGGTGTGGTTGACTTAGTACAAACCCTCTGCACTGAGACAGTGGGGACCCGGGCGTCTCCCTCCCTCTTGAAGCATTATTTCTACCTCCTACCTCCGGGATATGGCTTCCATGGTACCAGAGCATTAAGAGGAATCTCACAATGTCTTATTCAAGATAAGGGGAGGCCTGAGTGACTGAAGAGAGGGTGATTTTTATGTACTAGCCTACGAGTCATGAAAACAAACTGTATGATCGTAAAATCCAAAACAGCAACTCTGTTTTGGGTGGGGTTCTCTAGAGAAACAGAGGATATAAAAAAAATATATAAGAGAATATTTATTCTGGGAACTGCTTTTCATGGCTATGAAGGCCCCCAAATCCCATGATTGGAGACCCAGGCGCACAGGTGGGGATCCCAGTGCATGTGCAATGGCCAGGGAGCCGGGGTGTATGCTCCCCTCGAGTCTGGAAATCTGAGAGTCAGTAGCGCCCATGTCTGAGAGCTGATGAAGGTAGGTGTCCCTTTTTTTTGGTAAATTTAGTGTGGGTCACCTTCGTGGCTGGGGATCAAACTTGCATTGCAGCAGCTGCAGTCAGCTTGCAGTGCTATGTCCTTACCCATTGTGCCACCAGGGAGAGTCTGGGTGTTCCATTTTTAGCAAGGAGAGACTTCTCCTTCCCCCTTTTTGGTGTTCAACAGACTGGGGGAAGGAGGAAAATGCATGTTACTTAGTCAACCAATTCAAATGCTCTTCTTTCCCCCAAAGACCCTGATAGACACCTAGAAATGGTGTTTCCCAGCTCTCTGGGCATCCCTTCGCCCATCCAGGTTGACATACACATTCAACCATCACAAGTTCGTTCCTCTTATTCGAGTGAGGTGTGGAAATATGGAGGTGGTTGTGGTACACCTAACCCGCAGAGCTGACAGACACTTAGACTCAGATCACTTGGAGCCATTTATAAGCTTTCAGGTCAATGCTTCTCTTTACACTACACATCCCCTCCCACAGTGGGTGGGGTTCTCTAGAGAAACAGTGGAAAAGACCACTGTGAGGTCACAATGAGCACATTCTCAACAGCCACAAGGAGTGCGTATTCCAGAGGAATGGTCTAGATAAATCATCCTGCTCCCTTTTTGCTGTAAACAAGCCCAGGTTTTGAGTTTGAAATAATTAAACATTCCCACCCCACCACCCTTCGGAGGGTGTGTCCCCCCTCTAGAGGGGGCAGGGTGGCTTTTTCTAGCCTCCTGTAAGTGAAGTCAGAGCTGCCTTTAACTATAACCACCCAGGCACAGCTGAACTCAGCGGCTCCTC